TTGGTGCACTTGAAACCTTTGAGAAGTGAAAAGTGGGGGGAAATTTAACAAAAGGTTTTGTTCAGCTTTCATAAATTCAAATACTAATTGAGGCTGGGATCTTGCCTAACTCAACACTAAAAAAAAAAATTTAACCCAAATGGGTAAAATTTTTTTGTATTGTAGAATTCAGTCTTAGTATTTGACATAATGAAGTACCTACTTGAAAAGATTCCTTGGCAAATTACCCCTCAACTTGGGTGTTTTCACTTCTCCAAGGTTTTTACGTGCACACCTAAATACAACCGACGGCATAACGCTAAAAGTCACTTTGCACTTCAGGACTATGAAAATCATATATTTTAAAATGTATAAAATGACCACCTAATTGAAAAAGTTTTTTCTATACATTATTATCATTTTCACTATTTTATGTAATAGAAAAGAATTCAGCGTTAGAAATCAGTTCTGTTAGCATGAAATAAAAAAAAAACTTTAGAAAAAGCGAGTCTTAATAATTGACTACCTGCTTCTCATATTAGATGTCTGAATAACCTCCAAATTCCAAATCGCCTCAATTGCTGAGGAGTTCCAGTGACAGAGGGCGTACATGGGAAATCTAACTTTCAGCGCCCTCACCGATTGAATTTTATCCTGTTCCGGTTACCCCGGTCACAGAAGAGGAAACAATGCCCGGTCCACATTCAGGTCAAATAAGTGCACAGACTCCGAACGAACCAAAGTCGATATTGATCAATAAGAACAAGAAGCAAGACGTGTAACAGTGTGAAGTACAAATAATGCATGTATGAATTTTTTCAGATAGGCTTATAGTTTTATTTATATATCCATATCCAAGATGACTTCTCATCTAAGTAAGTTTGATTCATATTCTAAGTTAATTCTTACAAAGTGAGGGATTCCCAGAAGAACATATTTATGCCAAGGTATATTCGTATTTCGCATGTTTTCAGTTGTAAAATTTTGTTTTCCTTTTGTTGCTAATGCAAATAATTACACATGCACATAGATATGAAGTATACACACAGTGGCTCAAAAATTTATTTGTGATGCACTGTTTGGAACCTTAGGTATAATATTGAATCCAGACCTAATACTTGCATGACTCCATAACTGAATATGTTCATATTGAAGAAAATCTAGTATGCATTTCGTTGAACAGTTGACATCTACTTGTGATGCACTGTTTAGAACCTTTGGTGTAGTTTGAGTTTTTTCCCAACACCAAACCTGTATTATAAAACCTCCACACCAAGTGATCATCTTCATCTCCGAAAATTTACCGCAAAAAGCTTTACAGGGCGTGAATAACTTTTCGGTAAAATCCACCCGTCAAGTTTGTTCGGGGAATAGGGATCAAGTGATACCTTATTAAGAAAGGATTTTCATCCCATCTATATTGTAGCTTGATTTTCAAAGATAGATCCACTCTTTTATAAAGTATAAAAGTGTACTATGTGCCCCACAAAAAATCGAAAGGACATAAATTGGTTCATCGAGAAGGCCACACATTGCCCCCTTGTGTTATTTAATAATCACACATATTTTGCGATTAATATGGAGGAGCTCTGTTTCATTAGAAAAGCATATTCTGCTCATTGTACGTAGGGTCGTTCTATGTGATAGTTGTTAGAGCTAGGCCGATGGCATTTTATAGTAGATCAATGTATATATCGCCTGTTGAATTGCCAGGACCTACACTGAATTTCCACTAAAATACCTGCATTTACATTAAATTTTTGGAGATGTGTATTTGGCGGAAAAATCTTTGGATTAGTATCCCAGTAACGACAGTTATGGCGATTCAACAAACAATTTTAAAAATACAGTCGTCCCAAAAACAGACATTAAATGAGAAATTACAATTGAAGGCTCGTTCACTGAATATTTCGTAAAATTACAAGCGACGGACAGAGTCGTCGTTATTAAGTTATTGTTAATACACTTGTATCTATTGGGTCGGCATCAGGTATAGACAGGTAAGTCGACACTAGTAATTTACACCCAGTTGTATAATAATAAATCCCATATCAAAATAAGTCCTGTTTCATTGCGAATACGATTATATAGGGCTGCCTACGAATGACCTGGCCTGAATGACGGTTGGCGAGCTTGAAACATAAAACTTTGGTGCCTCTTTCACGGCTCAGATGGTTGCACGTGCGTATCAACCTTATATCCCTAGGGTCACAGACAGAATTAGAAAACTATTGGGTATACAACATTAAAACTATTTTCAAACCCACTAAGAAGATACAACAAAGTCTCAGGTCGGCTAAAGACAAGAGAGAGAGCCACTATCAGTGCACTTGTGGGAAAGTATATATCGGGACCACCAAAAGATCCATGGGAACAAGGCTGAAGTAGCATGAAAGAAACTGCAGACTAGGTTAAACGGACAAGTCGGCTGAGGTGGAACAGGCACTCAGTGACGGAAACCACAGGAGTCTGTTTGAATACACGAAACTCATCGCCCCCAACCAGGGATACCATAGCCCACTGGTAAGGGAGGCAATAGAGATCCACAAACACGCGGATAATTTCAACAGAAAAGAAGAAGCTTTGAACCTCAACCGAATATGGAATCCCATTCTAAGAAGTTCAAGAATAGGAAACAGCATGGCAGGTCGAAAAGGGTCGACGAATGTTATTAACAATTTACCTAATCCAAGAACAGGTATCAGAACACGAAACTACCTGAGTCAACATGAACAGGCTTTACGCAATTTACCTAAGCCATGTCAACATAAATACGCCTTACGCAGACGTAATATATAATGGTAGCCGGGCGGTTCGACGTGGGTGCTTTGTTCACTCACTCAATCGGCCGATGTGTGAGTCAATGGTTCAAGCCCCAGGCTGAACGCTCGATTTTCACTTGCTATCGTCTAACCCGTGTTAGGAATCACACGTTAAAAGGTAAGAACTCGTTAGTCCTTAGCTCGCACAAGTTTTTACTTCTGAGGGTTGTCGTTCGTAGGGGTGCAATAGTCGGTTAACGGAAAAAACATTTTAAACATATTTTATCGGATGTATACACCTCTGAGGAAGCTAGCGACTCGCGCCAGCGAAACTTCAGGAAAAAATTCCAAAAATTGACGGCTTTCAAACCCAAAACATAGTGATACAGATTAAATTGAGACAATGTACTTACTACTTATTATAACGTACTATTCATTGTCAGTATATGGTAATAAAAAATGATTGAAAAGTGTTTTTATGATTTTAACGACTCTGTGATTGAATATAACGTTGAAACTTATTATCATAAATTATATAAGAAATGAAAAAAGTTGCACCAATGGTTTTTTAATTCTCGTCATATGTTGGCCAAAAAATTGCGACATTATGCATGACGATATTTTCATTCAATGGTATGATAAAACATTTCATTAAAATCATTTTTCATTTCATATTCCAAAAGATAACTTCTAGGTACACGTTATTACTTCTACCGCTGAAGAAAGGCCAAAATCTTTGGATTCTCAATTCTCAAGGCTATAGAGCCAGTTGCTCTAAAATAATACTCAGTATTCACTAGTATATCGCTATCCTTCTCAATTACACGGACAAGTAGTATACACACTATCTTTCATTCGAGGGACGCACCGCACACATACGGGACAGTTCTTTCGGACCTATCTAAAGAAATGAACTTTAAATGTTCAAGCCCGTCTCGGATATACCTACACAGTAGGTTGAATGGACTGACGCCTATCAGAAAACAACTACTCCACTGGCTAATACCACGAACGGCGTTGGATTATACCCGACAGGCGTCAGTGCAGGAATCTTCACAGAAAATTTCCTACATATATGCAATTGACAATACAACTGAAAGAGTCGACCTTCAATTTTGGAACAGGCACACTTGCAGACCGGTTTCGGGCTCCTTAGCCACTGGTCAGTGCAAAATAGTGACCATCATCGACCTACAGTCAATAATATTTCATAAATTCTTTCAGAGTACTTCATTCCTCGTCTTGAGTTGGAGCGAACATCAAAAATGTCACCCCATCTAGTGGACGAGGTACGAACCAACTGCATATCCGAAATTTGCCCGATTCCTCTGAATAAGGAAGAAAAACTTTCTTATTAGTCAGTTGGCTATGCTTGAACACAGGCAGTCAGTAAACAAATCTAAACAAATGAACTTTAAATGTTCAAGTCCGTCTCGGATATACCTACACAGTAGGTTGAATGGACTGACGCCTATCTAGTACCACGAACGGCGTTGGATTATATCCGCCACTCGTCAGTCACTATTTTGCACTGACGAGTGACTAAGAAGCCTGAAACCGGTCTGCAAGTGTGCCCGTTTCAAAATTGAAGGTCGACTCTTTCAGTTGCATTGCCAATTGCATATGCAGGAAGTTTTCTGTGAAGATTCCTGCACTGACGCCTGTCGGATATAATCCAACGCCGTTCGTGGTATTAGCCAGTGGAGTAGTTGTTTTCTGATAGGCGTCAGTCCATTCAACCTACTATGTAGGTATATCCGAGACGAGCTTGAACATTTAAAGTTCATTTCTTTAGATTTGTTTACTGCCTGTCTTTAAGCATAGCCCACTGACTAATAAGAAAAGTCTTTCGGACCTCTTTGTCTGACAATCTCTGAAATCCCACTGATTTAAACAACCATTTCATCAATTCTATACTATTTCATAAGCCTGGAGTACTTATTTCTCAGTGTGAGAAAAATACAGGTCATATTTAATTCAACAATGTATGTCCCACTTCAAAAGTATAGAGATAATTTGTTTGGATATTTACCCTACCACAATCTAAAAAATAAACAAAAGTGAATCATTAGAGAATTTGCTGACGGGTAATAAATAATAAACAAGGGAAGAAGTATTTACAAATATTACCTACAAATCGAATGAACTGTGTAAAAAATAAAATTAAACGATGGTAAACGTTCCGGAAAGTAATCCTTCATCAAAAACTTTTGTAAATAACACCCCAAACCATATCAGGTATATTTCCTTTGCCAAGCGTTAAAAGATCTTTGGAAAATCAATTAAAAAGCATATTGATCATTTGTTTATGTTACTGTCAATTCAGTCTGCGTTGAGGTTTTAGATGCACAACTGTTTCACTGCCTGTTATTTCCGATAGTATAAGAGCTAATTTTATGGAGCAGAGCTATGCTGCAACTCTGCTCCATAAAATTATTATCAACAAAACTCCATCTTATCTCTGCATGATAATTTAAGCAGAATTCTTTTTAATGCAAAACCCAAACGAGATAGAATGAAAAAATCAGTTATATATAGAATAGTGTGTGGTGAATGCTCTGCACTATATACAGGCCAAACCGTTAAAAACTTTGACGTATGGCTCCGTGAACACGTCTCTTTCGATAAACAATCTTCAATGTATGAACATCTACAAGAATCAAAACACAAGATAAGTAAAGATAACCTAAAAATCCTATACATATGTAATAAAAGGAAAGAAAATGAGTTTGTTGTAAGCTAGGAAATTAACAAATCAATTAAAAACCCCTAAACGAGCAACTCGATTTATGTAGGTGTCCACTCTTGAATTTATAAGTTTAACAACCCCTATAGTCTTCAGTGTTGAATTTTATAGTTGCCATCCTTGTTCATTCAACTACCTCTCCTTCTAGCTTACCTAGAAACTTCCGATATAACCGAGTTTTCACATTTCACATGTCAGTTTTATATTTGATAATGGGTTGAAACACAAAACCGCTCGTAAAAATAAAATAACTAGTGAAAATTAGACAAAAGTGTTTTTATTCATTTCATTAAAGTGTTAACTTCTTTCTGAAAAAAAGAACTATAAAAATTTATCTTTTATTAGTAATTACAAATTATTTTATAGACAACAATCATGAATGAAAATATTCCTCACTAATACAAGCTGTTAGCCTTGCACATACTTTCTGATGATGAGATTTCATTTTTAGATCGTAGAAGGTTAGTAAAACCCAGAAATGTTCAGAAAAAATGACTTTAGTTAAAATTGCATATCTAAAAAACTGTAGTCCTGGGGAAAGGATCTTGGTCCAACTAGTAAACTTACTTTCAAATTGAAAAATGCTAGCTGAATTTTATCCTGATAAAGTTCTAAAGCACTCATCATGACACACTTCTTTCAGCTAAGAAACAATTAACTTTAAGAAGCAGACAATTGAATCCGTGTGATCATTTGTTCTGGAAAAGCAGAGGTTATTCAGAGAGGCCACAAAACTGGAAAGGTAAGTGAGGGTGTTGATAAGAAAAAATCCAGACCTAATTCACTTGCATGAGCCTGAAGTCTATCCATAACTGAATATGATCATATTGAAGAAAATCTTATATTCATTTCGTTGAACATTTGACATCTACTTGTGATGCACTGTTTGGAACCTTTGGTGTAGTTTGGGTTTTTTCCCAACACCAAACCGTTATTTTAACACTTTGACACGTGTTTCGACCACCAAGTCATAATCTTCATTAGGAACATCTTCCTCCTGTTGTTTCTGCTATCCCTAAATATGTTTGTCACCTTTTCCATACACCACATAGTTATGATACTTATGATCATCTAATGATAAGATGAACTTGATGGGCGAAAAATGTTTTGAGAAATCTGTTTTCAAGATTCCTTTCATGAAAAAAAAAATGTTACATTTGTTTCTAGACAAAAGTCCAGTTCTAATTATTAATATACATATATTTATTTTGTTATAATTTATATATTTAGGTCTTCTCAGAATAATTTCGCCTCTTTTATAGGTACATCAACATGATGTCTATAGATGGTGATTTGAAAATGCACGATTTGAACATTTACCAATGCTAAATTAAAATAATCATTGTATCTCATACTGTCTACCTGAGTATTGAAAACAGTTGTCTCAAATATAGGTAGGCTTTCACGGCTGGCGTCAATGTTTCGATTGGTTTCCGGGTTTTGGGTATAATTTCCAAACGTTTCAACTGCAACTGCGGCAGTCATCTTCAGTAGCGTGGTCGAAGTACTCTTCTTGACGTGTCAACTGAAACTGAAGTATTCATTTCTGCCGTGTAATTAATAGTGCTGATTTTCCGCGCACTTTTACTAATGGCGGGTTTTGCGCGTACTTCCCGCGCGATTTAGATGGCTTTGCTTCCCTTTGGCGCTTTTCAATGCTGTGTGCCAGATCTTTGGTAGATATGTTATCTCTTCCTTTCTATTATAGTTCTCGCTGAACAGTGCATGTTCAGCGACTGCAGACTTCTCGGTCTGTCCCAATCGGGAACTCCGCTTGTGCTCGACTAGGCGGATATCAATGCTTCTGCTTTTCGTCTGGTCGGTATAGACTTCACCACATTTACATGGAATCCTGTAAACTCCCGCTGATTTGAGTGGGCCTCTGTTGTATTTTGCTGATCTCAGATACTTCGATATTTTCTTCGTGGGTTTGAAGACGGTGTTGATTTTCTCCTTGTTTAGAACGTTTCCGATTCGGTTGGTCACCTTCTATGTAAGACAGATAGACAGTGCCTTGGGGTTGATCTTCACTGGTGTTTCTCTTCTTCTCCCTTAGACGCGTAGCGCGGATTATGTCTTTTCTGTCGTAGCCGTTCGCTTGTAACACAGTTGTTAGGTGTTTTATTTCGTTGTCGACGTACCTTACAGTCATCCAATGAGAGACTGAAGAGGAAATTCAACCAGCTTCAGAGAACACAGCTCAATAATCCAAAACTAGACATTGAGCTGGTTGTTATCAATAAATCCAATCGACCACTCACCAGTGACTAAACAAGTTTACTAGCTAAGTGAGGAAAATTCAGCGTAATACCATCGACAATACCCACAGAAGAAATCGTCGCGAACATAGAAGCCGGAATTGAAAAACTACCTGCTGATGATTCTGAGAAAATCCAAACATCCGAAAGCCGTCATAAGAAGTCTCAATGCTGTCGAAAATATTATCATTCTGCCCGCCGACAAAGGAAACGCAACAGTGGTCTTAAACACTTCGGAATACAAAAGCAAACTCAACCTTGTCAGTCAAGAAACGTACAAAAGATCACAAAAAAGCTCAGCAGAGAAAATCTTGAGAAAGACCAATCAACTGATGAAAGAATCTTCGTTACCACAAGAAGAAACTTTGCATGTGAGAAGCATTACCACCGAAGCTCTATGGATTACCGAAAATTCACAGAGAGGATGTACCACTGAGACCGATATCGAGTGCCATAGGATCAACAACCTTCAACCTCGACAAGAATTTGTCGGATATGCTGCACTTGGGAACACTAAGACGTACGTCCGAGACTCCACTGACTTCATCAAACAAATGAAAGGCATCACCTTGAAGCCAAACGGCATTCTAGTTAGCTTCGATATTGTATCCTCATTCACAAATGTACCACTCGATGAATCCCTCAGCTACATAGAGGAGATCTTTCGACAAGATATCACCTTATTTCGACATTCATTAACGACAACTTATTTTCAAAGGAACGGAACCTGTTATGAACAAGTTGATGGAGTCGCCATGGGCAGTCTACTTAGCTCAGTAGTGGCAAATTTCTACATGAAAAAATTTGAAGAAAGAGCCATTCAAACCTCAGAAAAACGACCGAAACACTGTTTGATGTATTTAGATGACGCGTTCGTTGTTTTAAGCCATAGAAAAGCAGAACTTCATAAATCATCTGAATAGCTTTCATCCTAAAATCCAGTTCACCATGGAATTAGAAGAAAACCTCCAAATCCCATTCCTGGATATTTTAGTCATCAAGGAAGGTGATCAACTAGGTCATAAGGTGTACAGGAAGAAAACACACAGATCGATACCTACATAATGGATCTAACCATCATCCAAAACAGAAACGAACCGTCATCAACTCCCTAGTGAACAGAGCTTTGAGAATATGTGAAGAAAGGTACGTCGACGATGAAATAAAACACCTAACAACTGTGTTACAAGCGAACAGCTACGACAAAAAAGACATAATCCGTGCTACGCGTCTAAGGGAGAAGAAAAGGAACACCAGTGATGATCAACCCCAAGGCAATGTGTCTATCTGCCATATATAGAAGGTGTCACCAACCGAATCGGAAAAATTCTGAAGAAGGAGAAAATTAACACCGTCTTCAAACTAACGAAGAAAATATCGGAGTACCTGAGATCAACAAAAGACAGTGGTGAAGTCTATATCGGTCAGACAAAAAGAAGCATTAGTACCCGCCTAGTCGAGCACAAACGGAATTGCCGATTGGAACAGACCGAGAAGTCTGCAGAACATGCACTGTGGGGACGCAGAACATGCACTGTGAGGACGCAGAACATGCACTGTGGGGACGCGGAACAAGATCCTGTTCGAAAATACCGAGAGGCTAACAACGTCAAATCATTATTCAACAAGGATGTATTTAGAAGCCATTGAAATACACAAACATCAAGAGAACTTCAATATAAAGGAAGAGATAACATATCTGGCATACAGCATCAAAAAGCGCCAAAACGAAGCCAAGCCGTCCAAATCGCGCGGGAAATACCCGCGAACCCGCTATTAATGGAAATGCGCGGAAAATCAGCACTATAAATGACACGGCAGAAATGAAAACTTCAGTTTCAGTTGATACGTCAAGAAGAGTACTTCGACCACGCCACTGAAGATGACTGCCGCAGTTGCAGTTGAAACGTTTGGAAATTATACCCAAATAAGACCACGCAAAACCCGGAAGCCAATCGAAACAGTTGTTTCAAAACTATCAGACTTTTGAAAGTTTCATTTTCTTAATTTTTATTTTCAGATATTCCGGAGGAAATGAGAAATTTCAATGGTATGTAATTTATTTTCATAATCCAGTGTTAATATGTTGTATCATCCGAGACACCCGCCAAGTGAAGGTTATTAGATTGCATAAAATTATTATTAACAAAACTTCAATTTAACTCTACGGGAAAAATACTTTCTAAACAGATGTTGATAACCTCACCGTTTTTCGCTTGGATTTTTTTCGACGAGTTACTAAATCTATGCTATCTACAATGACATAACGGAGTCAATAAAACGAGTCACACTACAAAATCTCCATTGATAAAATCCTTTCTGCATTGTAAAGCAATAATGACCTAGTAAACAAGCTGCCTGTATAAGTTCCTTGGCATTATAATATATTGAAATAATATGTATGATTTTTTGTACCTTGCGATATTTGTTTAATGTTAAGTGAAAGAGCAAATCACTGTTATTTTAATGTACATCTCTTTGTTTTTTTTTGTCAAAAAATGATAAAGAGTTTATTATTTGGATTTTATCAACTTTCAATTTTCAAAGTACTATACTATCATTAATCATTTAGGAAAAAAAACTGGTGTAATACTGATTATTTCTTTCAAAGCAATAGGTGACAGGTGAGATGGTCAAAAACATTCATCCTACGGACTTCTGGTTTTGTAATGCTGTTTGCTTTCATAATATTGCTAAATAATTAAGTTTTCTTTAAAAAAATGGAAATTTATCCGTTAAAATTTGAGGTCGTTGGTATTACTTTTGATTAAGTTTTTAATTGAAGGTGATTTTATAGATAAGAAACTGAGGTTTTGAGATTGCAAAGCAGTAGTTTTTGAAACATCAACCCTTTTCCAAAAAAACAAGTATATATAAAAATTATCTTTTATTAGTGATAACACATTCCATAGATAAAAATCATAAATATAAGTTTCTGACTAATACATAGCTATTAGGCTTGCATATACTTTCGGATGATCAGAATTTATTTTCTTGTTCATGAAAGGTTAGTAGATATCTAGTAAAAATCACTTATGTCAAAAACTGTAATTCTGGTGAAAAGTGGTATTTGTCTAACTAGTACTCACTTTCAAATTGAAAAATGCTATCATGACACACACAATGCGGGAATGAGAATATGAGATTTTGAAATTTGTGATGGAAATACGTTTCTGGCAAATTCAATAAAATGAAACTACTGTCAATTCCAAGATCTTTTTCAAAAGATAATGAAATGAGAAATAATGTACTTGTCAGAATTTTGTGATAGGTACTGGAATCTACCTGAAATTTTGAAGATTAGAAAGTTTTATTTTTTAATGTTTTTTTTTCAGATATTTTGGAGGAAATGAGAAATGTCAATGGTACATAATTCATTTTCGTAATCCAGTGTTGATCTGTTGTCGTATCCCTGACACCCGCCAAGTGAAGGTTATTTGACTGTATTTTTTATATTCATTGAGTGTGAATTTATTTTTGTTAGAAAACAGAGAATCTGTCAATATCCTTTTTTAAAAAATAAATAACCTTGAACCCCAATCAAAAAGCTTTATGCCACTTTCTGAAAATGAAAATTTCTCCTATTTTCCTGTCCCATTTTTTTACGGCGTTGGATTAGGAAAGATCCCAGATTGGAGACAGTGAAGGCGAACTCTTCATGTTAGAAAAGTATTTATATTTTCATAGTTTACTTGTGTGAAGGGGTTGAAATTTCTAAAATAAAGAATACTTATTTTCCCAACTCATAGTTCAATTCGTAATTCCTAGATGACAATGAATAAATATGAAGGGGTGCGGAAAAATTAATATGAGGATGCATTTGCTTACCCATATGACTATCAGGAGAAAGATCACTATAAGGAAGAAGACTATAACTATGCTGGAAGTCTACGAAAAAGCAGACTTCGGAGAGAAGATTACTATGAGACAGAAGACTGTGAAATGAAAATTTACTATGAGAGAGAAGACAAAGATTGCAAAAAAGAATGAGACTATGATGAGGAATATTACTCTTTGTTAAAATGTTTTTTTTTTGAAAACTGAGAAATGAAACTTCTTATGTTTTAACCACTTGTATTTGTAAGTAACCCTACTGCAGTTCTCAACTCCAAAATCAGTAATTACTAATTCCTAGATGACGCTGAATTCTATGAAGAGGAGAAGGAGGAATATGATTTTGAGTGGGAACATTAATATGAAAAGGAAAATAAAAATGGATGTGAAGGAGATGAGTAAGAGGAGGAAGATGAATATGAGGAGGAAGGAGACTACAAAGATGATGAATATGAAGAATATGGAAGAAAAAGCAACAAACGTAATCCTAATAACGATACTTTCTGGAGATTGAGGTTATGTAGAACATCCCGAAATCTGGAAATATTTGGCTCAGTTTTCATAAAGTTCTGTAGGCACTTCAAATATTTAATTGCCCAGTTAATTTTTACCTTTTTTTACATAGAGTATAACTTTTATGTACTCAAGTTTACCTTATAAAAAGACATTTTTTTCTTAATTTGTATTTTTTGTGAAGATTTATTTTTCTTGAAACCTTATATGATAGTTCATAGGTAAGTTTCACTTGTCAGAATTAAATCAATCCCAAAATTTATATCTGCAAAAAATAGAGAATACTGTAGAGATATTATTGTTTGCAAATATCCTGTGTTGTCGTTCTACTTCTCTCTATATAATAAGAAAGAAATAAACACAAACGGTATTTTCCAGGGGTTTGAGGAGTAAATTCTCAAAATCATTCAACAGCCAACAGCCGGCACCTTTGTGCTCTTCTAAATTGTTTCATTGGTCTAGTTCTAGTAGTAGTTATTCCTAACCCAAGAAGTGTATTTTTGGACTGATTCAGAAATGTAAAATAACTAAAAATACGCACTACAGAAAACCCCATTACCAAATAGCATCTCAAATATCAAAATTATATTTTTGGTAATACAAAGCCACATATAAGAAACAGTAGTCATTTGGTCTTGCTTCATAGTGTTTGATAGAAAGCTAAAAACTGGTCCCGAATGCGTTGCATAATTCATTTCATAAAAAAATATATATTCATGATCTCGTAAAATATAAATATCCATGAATGAAAAAATTCAGTTTAGATGCATAGATCTTCCATCCAAAATCTCCAGCACCAAGCAACTGGCAGTGCTTCACTATATTCTCGAGCTTATCATCCAAATGCAGTGATCTTAAAATAATTTTAGCTTTTTGACTATTGGCTGAAAGGGCCCAAATTATGACCACAGTAATATTTTTTTCTTCATTAGATCCACTAGTTAGTTTATTTTGTAGAATATTCAGGAAGTCTCCTGAAAAAAAAAATCTTGATGTTAACAAAAAATATATTCAACTGTCTCTCAAGCGTCGACTGTCTCTCTCCCAAGCGACGACTGACAGACCCCGACGTCAAGCCACAAAACCCCTACAATGAAAAACGCCAGACGCCGTTCAACCCGGCCTTCAGATCATCAGATTGCCGTCGGCAGATACCTTTCAGAACATATATATGTATATAGTCGACACTTGGGAGTAGGCAGATTGAAACCCCTGCAGAGACCAGCGACGAGACCTTGGGAGTAGGCAGATTGAGACCCAGGCGTCAAGTCACAAAACCCTTGCAGCGTGTCACTACCTGAGGAGCAGACAGATTGACTTTCGCCATAAATAGTCCCTATTCACATTACGAACAGGAATGTTGTTGATCATGCCAGCACCAAAAGTAACAATTGTATAGATAACATAACCAACTTAAACAATAGCAAATGTTGGTGGGTAATTCATTTTCTATCTTGATAAGAGTGGAGATGAGTACTATATTTGACCGTTTTACATATATGGTGTTATACATATATGGCAAGACACGAATACATTAATCCTTGTTCGGAGTTAAAGAGAGATAAAATCGTCTACTACAAAATAATAAAAAAGAAGAGTGTAGGTTAATTAAAAGTATAAAAATAAAATCAATAAAAAGGTGATTTAATGAGGCCTTTCACAAGTTAAAGACCCTGTCGCGTCAATATATTCCTCAATGTTATAAAAACAGTGTTGTTGAAAAAACTTTTTAATAGTAGTGCAAACATTTTCCCTAAAAACAGTAATAGAGAATTCAGAAAATTCAAATATAATTTGACAAACCCGTTTCCGTTTTGAAAAAAAAATTCTTGCNACATAGATATTAAGTACCTATTGTGATATTAAGTAACTTAAATAAGTAATTTTATGTTTAATATTTTTGAAAAACCATTAATAATATATATTCAAAAGAAAAATCTACACCTACTCAAATAAATTCACTTCACCTATTTTAAGTATTTTTACAGTGCAGTTGCTATTTTTTCTTAAATAAGGGTTTGTTATGCTGATTATCAATAAGTAAAAATGTCGAAGACTCCATAACGTGATTTAAAGATAAAACAATAAAGACTGACTAGTTATAATAACGTTTTCTTTATTTTTCCCCCAAAACATAATCCTTCTTAGGAAGATTCGGTTTCGGCCGAAACTGAGACCGTTGCCGAAATTCGGTTTCGGTCGTAAAAACCAGTTTCGGTCGGACACTACAATTCAAATTCACTAGCAAAATGTGACCAATTATCCCATCTCAAAGTCTCTCTGCCCCAATTTGCATACCTGAACTCAATAGTCTCGCTTTATTAGGCTGATAGAATGATATATTTCTCAACACCGACATGGCCATCTGTCGATTCTGTGTCCTGGAGCTTGTGGTCAAGGTCATTACTAGTTCAAGCACGTCAGTTATTTTTGTTACTGATGCCTGTCCTTCGGGATGGGTTGTGAACGTTTGCAAAAACTCGAGCCAAATCAGTTCTATGCTCTCCCAAGGCTTCTGGCGTTTCGTTATGGCGGGATGCAAGCGAGAAATGCTTTGGAAAAGAGTACTCTGAAATAAAACAGTGGTTCATTCAATGAAAATTATATGTGAATTGAATTACGCTTATTCAGTAGCAGACCTCATTATTTTTTCAATGATATTGTCAAGCTTGTTTACTTCAAAGTTCAGATACTACTTTAAGAGAATGTTCATTAATCAAAACTAATAATTTTTGGACAAACCGTCCATATCTTAACCCATTTGAAGAGAAAGAAGTATATCAGAAGTAGGTTTATACATAGAGCCTGATATCACATGAGAATATATTAAAACAAAATGTCACGGTGATTTCGTACACCATTTTATGTTTTAAACATAGCATTTGAAGAAGCATTCTCAAAGAAGTTTGTTCTGACACATTCAGTGTAAAATGTCTGTGACAACCTTGTTCCATACACATATACTTTAAAATTGATTTGTGAAAGAAGACAGGGATCATTCATACTATTGTATAGAGAATACTCTTTTTTGTCCCGAAAATATGACTTGTATTTTTCTATAAACTACTGTGGGAGCATCAAAGGTATCTCCATAGTTTAGGTACCCAAGAAATTTGTTATTCTTTCAAAGCTATATTAGTGTAACTGATACTGGAATTCCATACACAGATACTTTAAAATTGATTTGTGAAAGAAGACAGGGATCACTCATACTATTGTATAGAGAATACCCTCTTTTGCCCTGAAAATATGGCTTGTATTTTTCTATAAACTACTGTTGGAGCATCAAAGGTATCTCCATAGTTTAGGTACCCAAGAAATTTGTTATTCTTTCAAAGCTATATTAGTGTAACTGATACTGGAGACACCAGATGATGGCAACATATTTCAAAATGAGTCTAACTGATATGATGTACAACAGTTTGATGCAGGTTATATTATTGAATTGCGTGGAATTTCAAATCAAGAATCCATACATCTTTGATTATTTATTCGATATGTTTATGATCTAAGATTCCAATTATAATTGAAAATCGAATGTGAGAGCGTACCATCCATAGTTATATGTGATACCCACTTTTTTCCAGAAGAAAGTCATAATATTACACTTTTCAATATTGAATAGCAATTTGTTCATTTTTGACCATACCATATTCAGGTTTTCAGTTAAGTGTAGCCTTTTTGAGTTGTAATGTTTCTATAAATTTTCAAGTCATCTGCAAACAGTAGGTAACGAGAAGTAATAATATTTTTCAGCAGACCATCGGTGAAAAGAATAAATAAGAGAGGCCCTACATTGGATCCTAACAAGACTATGTAAAGGCCAGATTGCTCAGATAATCAATAGTATACATTTTTTTATGAAACCACGTTTACCGGTGGTATTCATAATATTCATAATAGTACCGTTTACCGGTACTATTATGAATACCCTTTAATCTCAATTTGTTCTTAATTATTATTTGCCTATTGAACCATGTGGGAGTAGTTCTTAGATTTTTACATTTTGGAACACAGATAATGAAAAAATCATTGAAGTTGACTGTAAAAAAGCTCACAGATTTGGATCTGTGAATAATATGTGACCACACCAATTCATATCTACAAATAAATGATATATTAGATCGAGATTGGCTTTCTGAAGTTGAAGTAACTTGATTTATTAGCAGACAACACTTTAGTTTTGAAATGACTAAGTGCCACATCACTCTACAGTAATGGATAATGCCTGTCCTCAACAAAACATAATTGAATAGAACAGAACCCCTCAAATTTTTTCTATTTATAGTGTTTTTTAATGCTATTTTGAATAATTTAAAACTGAAAACTACCTTACACCCACTGTGAATCTTTGAAAATCGTGTAATATTTTATTTTCTGAGTTGAAAATAATGTAAATCTATTGAACTCTTGAGAAATACTTACCTTTGATATTAAAATCCTGCACTCCAAAGTATGGCAAACGTTATTCAGAATATTGAAAGCAATTTGTAAAAGAGCCAGGTCATGAGTGCGGCTTATTTGCTCCATCTCTTTGTTTATGAGAGTAACGATAGCGTTTAACAAAGAAACAGTTCCCGGACACTTTCTAGGGCCAGAGCCAGCGACAGGACTAGTCAGAGGTAGTGTTTGGCATGCTAAAATGTCAAACAAAAACAAATTATTAGCAAAAACATATTACAACTAGTATTATCATATTAAATCGAAATGAATTTGTGGATTGGCACAAATACTATAAATATGCGAAAAAATGTATTCGTTAACAGATCAACTACATGGTATTGAACATGTCAATTTATACTTAATAAAGTAAGTATACAATTTGGACTGTGTAAACAGATTAAAAAAATAAGAAAAATGAAAAATACGTAATCATACGAACATATAAAAGTTATAAGATTAATGCAGTCAAGCTGCTAGGAAATTAATCCATGAAAATCAAAAGATAAATAGATAAGTACTATTCTGATCATTCCCATATTGATTTTAATTTAGGAGCCATCGGTAGATAGCTGTTTCAGCCTGTTGGGCATCGTCAGTACCGGGCAGACGGTCCTCGATTGAAGACAATAAGTGACACCAACCAAGCGTCTTCATTTCATTCAGGTTGGAGCCCAGCTCCCGTACCCTTTTAGCTGATTTTTGTCGAAGAAGGACAAATGGGTTCATGAATAAGGAGATATTGGCAGTATGATGTCCTCAGACATCGGTACCGCCCTTCACGGGGCACCCCTATCTGGCTAGGGTGGGATGGATGAAAAATCTATTAGTCCGTTAACGCGGGACATGAGGGCCTCATTCGACAGAGTTTCGGGGCCTTCTGTATCGGAAGCGGTCGTCTACAGCATAATCTATAGCTTCCCTAACTAACGGCTTTTCGTGAGTTTCCGCGCTATCAAAAACTCGCCGATTCCTCGACTGAATGGACTGCTGAATGGAAGGCAGCTTCAAATCTCTGCGGATGGCTTCATTCCGCACGAACCACGGAGTATTCACAACCATCCGTATCAACTTATTTTGTAATCTCTCCAGGATGGAGATGTTAGACGAAGCCGCGTGTCCCCAGACGCCTGAAGCATGCATGATGACAGGTTTGAACATCGTGTTGTAGATGGTAATTTTTTTCTTAAGGCTCATTTTTGATCTTCTGTTGATCAGAGGGTACAGACTAGCTATCCGTCCCTCGATCTTTGATTTAACGCACATAATGTGCGGGTTCCAAGTGAGGCTACGGTCTATTAGAAGGCCGAGGTACTTTACCCGCGCTTGCCAGTCAATCTCCCGAAGAAGATAGCAATCTTCCCATGGTTATCGCCTGGACAATATGTGAAAAACCAAAACAGTACTTGATGAAAATAACTGCGTAAACGTAAGCAAGACCTAAGTGGAACCACCTATTGGTGTGACACCCAAGTTAGCTTGCCAAGTTTTTATGTCGGCGGAGATAAACTCAGGATGTATAAACCTCTGAAAAAGCTAGCCACTAGCGTCAGCGAAAAGCCAGGAAAAAAAATCAAAAATCGAACGCCTTCAAACCCGAAAAGTAGTGACACCATAATCAGTTGAGTGTATAGCACTGTGTGTAAACATACATACACATATACATANAGCGGGTCGGGTTGATGTGGGCGGTTTGCTCCACTCACTCAAAATCGACCGCTGTGTGAACCGTGGTTCGAGCCGCAAGGCCTGGATGATCGATTTTCACTTCCTATCGTCCAACGTGTTAGTAATCACACGTTAAACGGTAAGATCTCGTTAGTCCTTCTGGTATTCAACATTGTCAGGGCTTAAACTACGCCAAGATTTATTTATGAATGTGGCATAATGAATCACTTTTTATATCGGGCTATTCAGCTATTGTCCTAATTATCGACACATATCAAACGAGTAATCGCGTCAAATACAAATTACCACTTCGAATGGTGAATTTTATGTAAGAATATCGATAATAATGATATCATTATACCATCTAACTTACATCCACGAATGAATTTTTCATTTTTAAGGTTATTCAAGCCACAATAACTGTCGACAGAGTAGAAATGTGCGACCCTTCGGTAGATTATCCCATAAAATGGATGCTAAAACTGAAAAACGACAAGAATGGGCAAGTTATAGAAGAAGGACGTCTTACCTCAAGAATAGATCTGGACAACAATATTCTGGTATGTTCATATACAGTCAAAAGTATCTATGAAATCATCAAAATATACGTATAATATCCCGGTAAACCCTGTATTTGCAAAATATCTCTTTTAAGATGTTTTTGTAAGACGTCTGCAGATAGACTAACAGAGTACTAAACAAATAATTTTGTAATGAGATGATCATAAAAATGATTGATAAATTATGTACTCCTATACATAATCGTCATAATAGTGACGATCACATATAGGATGTCACATACCTTTTATTTTTTTCATTATTTAAGTAATTGATAAAATATTGAACTCAATAAATATGTCTCATCAAATCATTTTCTTTAAGCTGGTGAAAATACATATCGATGAAAATCTGATAAATTAAAAACATATTTTTATCCGTGTTATTACAAACTGAAAATCAACAAATATTGAAGTTTGAAGTTATTAGTAATCCAAAATGAATATATTCTCTGTGCATTTTGAAGATCATCTCATGAATGTAAAAAAATCAATTATTTTAATGCTTCATTGAAAAAACTTATAAAATGTGTATTCATGACCGTCATATGAAGGGGATGTTAAGTGAGATGTCTGCAGATAGATCAAAATAATCATTCTAAACAAGTATGTTCATGTTGAGATCATCACAGAAATGATTCCTAAATAATGTGTATATGATCGCCATCTTAATGTTTCTATGGGATATCGAATATGTATTTTTTTATGATTGAAATAATTGGTAAAACTGAACATCATAAATATATCGCATATCCCATGATATTTCTACTGATGTATTCAAAACGTTAGAAACAATGTTTCATTCACGTATTATTACAAATAAGATAAGTAAATATTTGCAGGTGGAAGATAGTAGTTCTACAAAATAACGTTATATTTATAAGACCTATTATTTTGATTTCCTATAAAACAGCTTAAATATCATGGGATTTTGAATGTACATTAGTTTATGTTTCAAATATGTAGTTATATTGTCGCAAACATATTTATATTAGACCATCTCCTGTGAAGTGATAAAAATACTTAATATAGTAATAAATTATAATACATTTTCAAGCATATTTTCATGATGTTAATTTGATGCTGTTCACCATTTTCAAAATTTACATCATATCTTTTAAAGTCATTTCCGTGATGTAAATTTGATACAGGTTATTTTACGTTTTTACAAGGTCGGCAATTGAAAGTTCCAAAAAAAGAGTCGTTATTGCACAACAACCATTTCATTTGTATTCTTTTCATTTGTGCCAAAAGGCAACGGCAAGCAAGATTCGAAAGAGACTATTCGTCCCTAACAAGAATGGTTCTTCGCTCATGATCATCAATTAGGAGGCTGTCCATCATTTTCAATATTAAAACTCAGGCGTTTCTTCAACATATACAGGAAAAAATGTTTACCGGGATAAAAATGTAATATCATAATCAAGTATAGCTGACTTTTTTTAATCTTAGGCCTCTTTTACGTGTACACGATTTTTCTCTTCTGCGTGTTGCGACAAAAACTGCGGCATCTTCTACAACTATTATTTTATAAAAGAGCTTTTATGCATTAGTCGATCATGACCAGTGTCGTGGCGTTCTCAAATTATTTAGCTTGGAACTGCAAACGACGTCGCGACAGACGTTTTGACATGTTTTTATCTCCTTAATCATCGCAAAACGCCGCCCTTTTATGGATCTCTTCAATCTTGTGAACATGAAAAAGTCGCAGGAGCCAAATCTGGTGAATACGGTGGCTGTGGAATGATTGCAGACGTTTTTTTCGTATTGCTTCTCGCAAGCGGCGCCTAACTTCAAGATAATAAATACTCCTTATTGACCGTACGACCATGTGGCGAAAACTTGACATTTGATCTAACTTGGCGTGCCTTTTTTGATCTTGACTCTCCTGGGCTCTTCCATTGGGACGATTGGACTTTGGTTTCGATATCAAAACCATACAGTGCATTTCTTTAATGCACCCTCTTTTATTTTTTGAACGGTCAACTCAAAAAATTGAAATTTGGGATAATGAAATTAATGCATGAATACTTTATTTTGAAGTGAAATTGAAATTGACATATTCTAGGGTTGTGAAGTATTCGTCAGGAGCTTCAAAATGATGTGTCACAAGACCCCCCCTTTCCATTTAATTTTTTTCCGAGATGGCGCCATCTTGAAAGTTTCATTGGAATACAATATCCATATCGAATTCATTAGGATTCGCTTCGACGATTTCAGTGATGAGAGGGTCAACAGAAGTTTCCAACATATTCAAATACAGTTCCCCTGGTAAATTTGATCAATAAATAGAGGTCCTTCAATATGGTTTCCCAATATTTCTGCCCAAACGTTATTTTTTTCCTGATATTGGGTATGTGTTTCCCGGAAAACGTGAAGGTTGGTGTCACTCCAATAACGGCAATTTTGTCTGTGAACATTGCTGTTTAGAAAAAATGTACATTCGTCACTAAAACAAATATTGTGGAGATAGGTAGGATGCCTTACAATGATTTCAGTCGTAATTTCGCAGAATTCTGTTTTTCGATCAGCGTCATCCTCAGTTAATTGGTGTATCATTTTAATTTTGTATGGATGATACCTATTCTTCTTCAAAAGTCTCCACACAGTAGAAGGAGACACCTCTCAAACATTCGCGACGGAATAAGTAGACTGTTCAGGATTTACTACCATCTCACGAATTATTTGCACGCGCTGTTCTTCCGGAATGGACGGATGAGCTGGGGGATTTTTGTTATGTAGGTACACTACTGGTAGTAGTGTATTTCGATACAAGTTCCCCCAAATATTTTCTACAGATAGGACGATTCGGAAAACGTTCATTGAAAATCTTTTCGGTCTCGTGAAAGTTTTGCATCGCACCGTAAATAACAAACCTTATCGGGTTGTTGGAATTTCCATATGGCAGATAAAAAGGAATATTTCTAGAAATATCGAAATGATATGTCACAAGACCCCCCCTTACTACTTTCTATTTAATTTTTTTTCGAGATGGCGCCATCTTGAAAGTTTCATTCGTCAATATCATTTTAAAATAAAGTATTTATGCATTAATTTTATTATCCCAAATTTCAATTTTTTTAGTTGACCCGTTCAAAAAATAAAAGGGAGGGGGGGACATTAAAGAAATGAACTGTATACCCATGACTCGTTACCAGTTATAACCCTTTTAAGCAAATCTGGATGGCCGTTGACGTCATTCAACAATTCCTGAGCGATTTGGATCGAACTTTGCTGCCACACGCTTTGGACGATTTTCCATAACAATGTTATTCACTTTCTTAACATTTTCATCGGTTGTTGATGTTCTGGTGCGTCCAGGGCGATCGTCGTCATTCTTACCTTCTCTACCTTCTGTGAAAAGCTTGTACCACTTGTGAACAATTTTCTGATTTAAAGTACGATCATCGTATGCCACTGTCAACATTTCACTTGATTCCATTTTCACTTTTATACTTCTCACCGACAAACTTCACATGCTAAACAGCTGAAACTGTGAACAAATGTTCGAGACGAGTGTATTACCATAAAAAATAAAAAAATGCTGATTAAATGTACGTAGCCCGAAAAATATGAGAATACACTTTTTTCTTTATCAATAAACGCGTGTTTGTTTAGGATTTAGGAAGATGTCAATTAATCGACTGATATATTTCAACATGTGTTAGGAATCACACGTTAAAAGGTAAGACTTCGTTAGTCCTTAGCTCGCACGAGTTTCTCAACTTCTGAGAGTTGTCGTTCGTATTAGGGCTACAGCTGATTAACGGAAAAACAGATTAGAATAACATAAAACATTTTCTTCAGGAAACAATAAAAATTTACTCCTTGGAAGATAAGGAATGGATGTTTGTGCTCGGAAAAGAAGACTTCTTTTGCGACATGCAAAAAAATTTTTTTGGAGAGCTTGCCACAGTCCTCGAAAAAGCAGCTGGACTTGAAAAAACCTGCCCTTATCCTAAGGTTTGTATCGGAATATTTATAATGTGAATATGCAAGTTTAATGAAAATGACGAGATACAATTGAATCTCGTCAACAGACTTGCTTGGGAACGAAAACCTACACTATTTTTTTTCGGTTCCAGGGAACACATAAAGTTTCTAATTTTCCAATAGACTGGTCCAAATTGAAGTTCAAAGATATTCCTGATGGTGTAATCAAGTTGACAATTGAATACAACAATGTAAAGACTAACGATCTATTGGGATGCCTTGAAGTAGAACTAACTTGCAAAAAATAGCTGTGTACAAACAACAACCCATCAATAGAAAATAAAATCTAGATTGAAGTTCATAATTATTATTCATGGAGTTTTATTTCATTACATCAATTCAATTTCCGTAAAGGTACAGTTCAGTAAACGATATAGTGCAACATACCTTCCAACACCTCCCTTTTAATTATATAGTTAGAGAGCTAACTAATTTCGTTATTCAATAATCGTTTCTGATTATATGAGCTATCGTCTTCTTGGCTCTACTTTGAGTAGAGCCAAAGGAAGGATTAATCGGAAACAGCACTGAAAAAAAAATTATTGGCTAACCGCGGCTGGATATTGGCCTCATCAGCGCGGTGTAGCCAAGTGCCGAGATGGCAACAATTGGTTGCCAAAAAAGGGGGAAAATGGCACAAACGAACGGAGTCAACAACAGCTGTAAATGCCTCCGTGGTGATGTTAGGAAATCCTATCACAAATGTGCGGTAGGCTCCTGTTGTCGACTCCGTTCATTTGTGCTATTTTTCCCCTTTTTTGGCAACCAAGTGTTGCCCATCTCGGCACTCGGCTACACCGCGCTGATGAGGCCAATAGCTAGAAAGACGTGTCTGCGGTTTGCCAATAATGACTGAACTGATCATCCTGTTGTTGACAACAGGATGACCAGTTTGAGGAGTGCCAGAGGATGACAGTACTAGCAACTGTCGAAAGCGCTCGCAGATAATTAATAGAAGATATAAAGCTTCAAATCCTTTTTGTAGAATTTAATATATATATATATATATATATATATNCCATTAATAATTTTCCAACTTTCCTTAGATATAATACTAGCATTATCAACCCAACATAGACTGACTATATAAAGGATTGAAAATTCATTATTCTTCTTCAAAAGAGAGAGACCTAGATTCATTTGTTCCATTCTTAATACACCTAATTAATATTCAGAAGAGAATATAATCAAAAAAGATAGGTACAGATGAAATTACACAGGTACAACACTATCTATAAATTTTTTTTCGAAATAAAGCCTCAAGTTCAATTCTGAAATCTGGCATTGAAAAAATGTACGTGTTTATTGCACCATCAGAAACAATCCTCAGGTGCCGGAGAGGTGAAAAATGTATGATGAATTATATAGATCATTAAGGTAAGAATATTTATATCTTACATACAAACATTCAATAGAATATAATAAAAATATATTTAGAAAATCTAGTAACTGTCACTTGTTTTTGGAAATGTGTTTTCCATTATTGTCCAGTTAATTATATTGCACATCAATTTTCAGAAATTGGGTAAAAATTTCAAACAAAAAATTATTGTATGGCAACCATACAAATACAGAACCACTGAAAAAAAAATATTTATCACCTTAAATAGTTGTTAGTTGAAACTAACACTTCAATATTCATCAAGACAAGAAAGTAAAATGAAAATATATTTTCATAACACATCTAAATTTACGAATGTATTATTGTAAATTATGCACGAAAGAAAATAACGCCGGCCGACACTGGTAACCGTGAACCAAACGTGACGTAGCTAAGAGCGCGCGAATGTATGATGATTCCCCACCACTCTAGAAGCAGCGAGAATAATGCTACCGATTTCGACGGAACTTCGCCAAAATTCTACGGCTTTCGATTACGATAAATCAGGTGTAAGAGGGGTACCACATGATTTGATGAGATCTTATCTTATAGGTAGGAGGCAAAAAGTGAGAATTGGTCAATGTCAGTTGCCAGTACCTACATACTAGAGGCTAGTGCATACGTTTTAAAAAATAAATCCAATTTTCAGTCCCCTCTTCCAAATCATAACCACAATACTCGTTCGAAAGATCTAATCGTACCAAACGCTCATAGAACTTCTTTGCAAGAAAAAAGCGTATAGTACGGTGGGTGTACTCTTAAGAATTCCCCAAATACTAATGTGTTCAAAAGTCAGTTGAAAAAAATGCTACTTCAAAGGACTTGTTACACCATTCAAGAATTCACCAATCAACTAACCTGAGATCTTGAGCTTTAGCACATTTGGGTAAAGTGTTTACTTTCAATACTTGAGAAATTGTGTGTTGATTATATTTTATTGGCTTTTTCATGGTCTATAACTAGTTACATTTATATATTTATATGTTACTTTTATTACTTATGGATGTTTATCACTGTTTGTGTTATTGTGTTGTTTACATTATTTTGACTGACTTATAATATGGTTACATGTAGTTATTTACATTTAAATGTTTTTACATTTACTTTTACTTTTATAGTTGGCATTTTCTTTGTTTATTGTGCATTGACTGCTGTCAACTGTACTTTTCAACCAAAGAAATAAATATTATTATTATTATTTAAACGCTATCCGCGAGCATATCGACACAGTCAAGTGGAAGTTACAGTGCGGCACGCAAAGTGGTCTAGTAAGGCCACCGGCATTGATTATTCAGTGTAGTCAATTATTGGTCAACCCACGGGGAAAACGTAACAGTATACTTACGATAAACCTTGGGATTCAGCAGAGAAAACATCAAATTCAAACAATCCCTGGTGTGCAAAATGGTTCCAAGAATCGAAGAATCGATACTAGCCACTCGAGCCAAAACTGAACAGATGACGGCATTCATTTCTAGAATATCACAATAAAACGACAGCTCTCTAGTATTATCGATACTCATAGACGGATTGAACAAGAGTCTGAAAATTGAAATTTATTTTAGAAATCTAACCTGCAGAAAAGCTGTCCTATTAATACCTGAATAACAACTTAACGAGGCCTTGTTCCTGCATCTTACGACATATTGTATCAGAATCTAAGTTCAGCAGGTTCAACAGCAAATTTCCTAGAGATTTAACTAGTCCTGGAGTTGTTGAAATGATAGAATTTTCGCCGTCAGTGGTATCGGACTTCCGGGAAATTTCAGAATCAGATAAACACTTATTGAATAGATTTTCTAAAATTAGCTTCATGACAAGTTTATGTGATACTGATAGTGAACATTTACTTACTTTGTAAACACTTAACTTTTTCTGAGATGTTCAATGTGAACAGATTACCGAGAAGGATTTCTGAGTTGTTGTAAAAATCGTATTCTTCTATAAGATTCAACAGGCTCATTGTGTAGCTCTGAAATTAGTGTTTAAAAAAAATCATGTTCATGAAGACAAAAGACTAATATTACATCTGAAGATGAACAAATCAAATTACTAATATGTAGACATATAGGTATTCTGTCGAACGGCTAAAGTGTAAAAATGTTCATCTAACAATACAATTGAAAATATAATTCATCAGGAAAGAAATCACATACGAGTAAACACAGCTAGGTATACAAATATCGTTAAACAACAAAAAATCAACGACTTCAGAACAGCTTGTTTGGAAATAGTTGATAAGTTATGAATAGCACTAAAAACTATTCTTTTGGGAAGTGCCTGGATGGCTCATCAATGTCCAACCACTGTCCTGGACGTCTCCTGTTGTCGTCGAGGATCTACTTTTCATCGTACTTGACAATCCGATCCAAAAAAACGTCGTTTCGGTTGCGCAAAAGCAAAGAAGAACAGACTTAGAAACGTGACAATTTCTGTCGATCGTTCAAATCATGTGGCACCAACTTTTTAAAACCATCAAAAACAGCATGTTAGCTGACGGCCAGTTCTTCCGTCATCCCACGCAAGTTTGTGATGGGTCAGTCTCCACCAAGGTCCTCAAATTCTCTTCCTGAATTACTATGGGTCGACACTTCGGGTCTCATCTTCGAGGCCAAAATATGTGGAATGAAATTTTGCAAACCAACGTTGAACAGTGCGTTCATTAACACTATAATTGCCAAATACCTCGTTAATTTTTCGGGCTGTTTCGGCAGCGTTTTGGTTAAATTTGAATTCGTAGAGAAAAACTGACACAAACTCGACGACATAGAAAACTAAATGAAATAGAAATTTGAAAAACAATTATCAGCATCAATGTATAGAGTAGGTACAAAAAATCTCTTTCGATCAGTATATACCATGAAATTAAAACGAACAAAACTTTTGAAACAACCTAATGAATATAAAAAATTTGGCAGTATATGTCAATACAAATAAATATGCACATAAACATACAGAATACATACAATGTAAGTTCTGTTTCTTGTGTGGACATAATAAAAATGGTTTCCATCATGATTAACAAAATATTGAAAAATGTTTTCTCAGGTGTCACTTTTTTTTGCGATTCATTTATAGATTAGGTTTTGTAAAATGTATCTTTATGTACCCTGTGAGATTTTCACTAAACAGTTTTACAAAAACGCAACACGTGTTTCACTACACAATAGCTTCTTCAGGCGTGTCTTTACTCAACACACCTGAAGATGCTATTGTATAGCGAAATACGTGTTGTGTTTTTGTAAAACTTTCCAGTGAGAATCTCACAAAAAAGTGTTTCTTGAAAACACATTTTGAATTTATCAGTGACAAAAAATGTATGATTTTAAAAGGTATTTCAATTATCGTAGATATTCATTTATGTTAAATTTTGCTATGTAAGGACCACGATAAATGTTCACCTATGATGACGAATATTTGATAGTTCTATTATGAACATAAACGGGCTGTTTTAAATCGATAGATGAACATTTTTTGTGACAAACATGAATGATAATACCACTTTGTTCAATACTACAGGAGAGGAGTAGCTGTTTCAGCATAACCTAATAGTTTCAGTCAAGCATCAAACTTGACCATCAACATTTTAAAAAACCATACCTTCTTCAGAGTATGCATACTTGTTCCGACAGATTTCTCGCTATCCATTGGAGCCGAATGACCAGCCAAGTTTGCTAGAAACTGGGCAGCATTCTCTCTGACTATGCTGGCTTCATCGTGATCAATAAGAACAGTGAATGCCAAATCCCAAATTGTGGTATCGTCGATCTTAACACCTGAGAATTTGAATAAATGATGATTTCAAGAAATATTTTTTCAATAATCAGGTATTCACAAAATAACATCACTACGACTCACCAGTCACTATTTCTACAGCTGCTCTTGGAGAGACAGCTAGTCCACTGAATAACTGTAACGCTGCAGCTCTGATAATAACGTCTCTACTGGGCCACAATCCGATTAAATTATGAAGGGAGTTTCCATTGCTAATGTTTTCGAAAAAATAAGTTTCCCATCCCTTGCGAAAAAAAAATATACCCAGTGTTATCAATATATAATATACACACACAGAATGTCTTAGCAAGTTATAACCATTTTTTTATTATTGACTTTAGGATGCAACAACTAAAACCTCAAATGCAACCTCAAGATACAGGTATTTATTTATTTATGTATTTTCAGTGGAATACAAAACCCAAAAAGAGTTATAACAAATGATGAGGTGAAAATAAAAGTAAATGATTGGATTGTTATAAATAATATGCAATATCGTGTTATGAACACTGCAGTGCAAATTACAATAGTTAAATATGAAAATGGTGATTGTATGAACGTTTGAGAGATGTGGTGAAGGTTGCGAGGGAATTAGAAAAGATGTCAATTTCTATTGATTTGTATCTAGAGCTGTAGGATTTACAACACCTGTTTAGGGGACAATTCAAATACTAATTAGTTTTACTTTGATTTGTTTGGAATGAATATAATCCTCTGGTATTATACAGAAGTACATTAATCAAAAGTTGATTCAATATAGAAGTGCTGTCCAAACAATTATTCATTATTTTATATAGGAACTTAATATCTGCTATTTGGCGTCTATCCGCCAAATATATCAGATTGAGTTGTATTTTAATTTGTAAGGTTCTTTAAGATTATGAAAGAATTTTCAATTGATATAGGTGATGAATTTCACCTTTATTTCTAACTTGAGTCTCCAAAATTGATAATATAAAAGTTTTCCATATGGTTCCAACTTACCGAGACATACTGTATATTATGATATTAAATTATAGGAATGTAGGCTTTCACAGCTGGCTTCCGGGTTTGCCATGGTCTTCTTTAATAAGATCATAACCATTATCGTTGGAATATATAACATACATGTTAACAGTAGGAAAAAAACATAACTAAGTATGAACAAAGCAAAAAAAGTTGAATCAGAACAGAAAAAAAATTCAATGATGGAATAGACTTTGAAAGTCTAATAAAAATTTTCAAAAACGATAATCAACAGCGTTTTGGTTCAATTTGAATTCGTAGAGACAAATTGGCTGATAATCGCTTAACGACATAGGTAGTAAGCTGAGAAGAGGCAAAAACTAAAATTTGAAAAAAACTAACAGCGTTAATGTATAGAGAACAAAATTCTCTGTTGATCGGTACATACCACAACAAATTAGAATAAATATTGAGATATGGACCTACAAGAACACACGACATTAAAACAGACAAAACTTTTGGGAAAACCTATTATTTTTTTAGTGCAATAGTTGTTCAAAATGTACCTTGACTTTTGCATACTGCAATTCGGCAATGAGGTGGTTAAGGACCAGAAGAGCATGTCTTGTAATACTTAAACCCATAACAGATATAGCTGCCGTTGGACCTTTACCAGAATGGAACGCTCCAATCAATCCGCACAGACCCGCAATCATTTGAGGTAACGGCTCCTTGACGTTGGAGTTGGGTTTACAATCACTCCAACCAAGAGAGGCTGTTAGATGAACCAGACAAGAAAGTAAAGAATCCAGATAAGCTGAAAGTTGACACAGAATTTCTCATATAGTAAAAATAAACGTAATTACTTTCAACTCACCCAAATTATAGAAATGTTGTGAATCACTGAAACTTAAATTTTCAGCAATAGTTTTGATCACGAACGTCCAAGGTTTCGAATTAACGGTAAAAGGAGGCGATTGATAATCAATATAATGCTGTTCCTGACGAACACAAGTCGTAATTAATTTTAGAAGTTCTTGTCCAATAGCCTTACTCATTTCATCGGTAGTGCTGTCAATACTCAGTAAATCCAATATCGACTGTGTTTCGTCTTTCAACATTGAGGATATCCAACCATCTTTTCCTGAAGCTTAAGAAGAATTTATATAAATGGAACAAAGCAATCAATCAACTAGTTTATTGATCCAATAATTTTTCTGAAAAAATGTTGGTTGGTAACAGGATCAATTTTTTCTTAAAAAAACAATTGTTTCCTTGCTGACGTTTCGAATTTAATTAAATTCTTCTTCAGGCCTCGAAAAGTAGTTTTTTCGTGTTGATAATACACGATAATTCAGGGCTCCAAAAGTAGTTTTTTCATGTATCATCAACACGAAAAAACTACTTTTCGAGTCCTGAAGAAAGATTTAATTAAATTCGAAACGTCGGCAAAAAANTAACAAATCTTATCGGATTGTTGAAATTGCCATATGGCAGATAAAAAGGAATATTTCTAGAAATATCGAAATGATATGTCACAAGACCCCCCCTTACTACTTTCTATTTAATTTTTTTTCGAGATGGCGCCATCTTGAAAGTTTCATTCGTCAATTTCATTTTACCCAATTTGAATCTTTTGGTTTGCCCGTTCAAAAAATAAAAGGGAGGAAGGGACATTAAAGAAATGAACTGTATACCCAGGATTCTCCACTAGTTATGACCCTTTCGAGCAAATCTGGATGGCCGTTGACGTCATTCAACAATTCCTGAGCGATTTGGATAGAAATTCGCTGCCACACGCTTTGGACGATTTTCCATAACAATTTTATTAACTTTCTTAACATTTTTATCATTTGTTGATGTTCTGGTGCGTCCAGGGCGATCGTCGTCATTCTTACCTTCTCTACCTTCTGTGAAAAGCTTGTACCACTTGTAAACAATTTTCTGATTTAAAGTACGATCATCGTATGCCACTGTCAACACTTCACTTGATTCCATTTTTCACACATAATTTGAGGCAAATTCTTTGATCCATTTTTTTGATAGCAGA